GCAACGATAGAATATCAGTTCGATATTCGCAGTATCGCCCACCACTATCAGTTATAAATATATCAATTATAAAACAAACAATACATCAATATTTAAAACAAACTTACCTTCATTAACGTCGGCGAATTTGCTCCAATCTTTTAGAAGTTTTTAGACGTTTTTCGGCTCTCAGAAAAGTTTTGAAATTTATAAAATCTTGCAAAAATATACCCTGGTTGCCAGAGGTTCTGTATCTTTCGCCTTATTCCCGCTCGCATATTTATTTTACGCGAGGCGAAGAGAACCTCTGGTGGCACGCGATACAAATCTCACTTCCATGCTGACGTTGCCGTTGAGAACTTGCAAAACCGGTTTTGTATTTTGTGACGTTTTTAAACTTCCGGGTTTGTCATACTACCAAAATAGCTCTCTTCAGACTGTTTGGCAGCCTTGTGTAAAATATTAAAAATAAGCAGCCCAAACATGTAGGTTATTCATTAGAAACATGTAGGTTATTCATTAGAAACATGTAGATTATTCTCGCACAAAGCCACCTTATATACTGATTGTTAAATTTGTGGAATGCCGTTTGTAATAGCGAACGTTAGGAACGTCTAAAGTCAAAAGTGAAAGAATATAAATATATAAATATTTATATATATGTGTGTGCAACGGAGCCAGTATGTACGTTGTCCTTAACAAACAACGGGAAAATATTGGCAAAATAAATCATATTAATGACTATTAAAGTCAAAGAATTACCAAAATTTAAAACCTTGAACGATATAAAGCAAGTGACCAACACTATATATTTTACAAATATTAATACTGTAACTGAACATGTCATGCCGTCAACTCAAGTCATGCCGCGATGGCAGGTCTTCTCCAACGCAGAAAATCGTTTTATAGCGAAACAAACTAAGTTAATCTCAAATATATAAACCCACACCAAGTAAAGCATTTTAATACGTTCGTATTTATATTTCTGCATTTTGTTTACATCATGTTCTCTGAGATTTATAAACAGGTTTTTTTGTCTAGCCAATCGCATCACTTCATGTGACTGCTAATTATAACTAACCAATCATGTGCTTGGTACAAATTTTGTACCAAAGGAAGAGAGATTTGTATCGCGTGCCACCAGAGGTTCTCTTCGCCTCGCGTAAAATAAATATACGAGCGGGAATAAGGCGAAAGATACAGAACCTCTGGCAACCAGGGTAGCAAAAATACAACTTGAAAGAAATGTTTGTTATTTCGCTGTCGTCAATTCAGTCGTTATAATGCAAATTCCAAATTTGACCAATCAGTGTTCACTATTCACGGCAGTCCGCTACATATTTAGAGATCAGTGAGGATGACCACCCATGAATGGTGAGCCATGCGCCCACGATATTTGATGAACTTTAGACTTCGCTAGTACCCTCGGACGGCGCTTCGCGCCGTCGGCTCGGGGATGAAATCCGATAGCAAAAACTTGTGTTATATAATTTACCTGTACGTCTTTAAGAATGCTTTGTCGTTTGTAATTTATACGCGTACTAAAGCAGCGCGTAATTCATCAGATTCCACTTGGTCTTGGAAATATTATATATTCTGGCTGTATGTCTTATTAATAATTGTCGTCTGAAATTATACGTGTCTTAAGCAGCGTGTAATTGAACAGATTTCACTTGGTCTTCGAAATATTATATATTCTTGCTAATGCTTTACTGAATATTACTTACATAAACATTAACATTAACATTAACACGCAAGTATTCAATGATACGCACATTTTTAATATTTCTTTTATTTTTTTGTTTTTATTTTATTTTTTTATTTTTATTTTTATTATATCTGTCACCTTAATTAGATTGCCTTTTAACCCCTGGTCTTGGCCGCAGCAAATGCAATGCTTTTTCTCAGTTACACTCATGGCATGAATCGATTCTGTATCCTTCAGACACTCATTAATAATTCATAAGCTTATTGGCAAATCATGTCAACCATAATATGTCACGTGCAGTGGCTTTAAACCTGATAAAACACTCCTAATTAGTATTCTTTATATATACAATACTAATCAGGCACTATCTATTGTTGTCGTGTCCTCATTAGTATTTTTTTATATAAAGAATACTAATAAGGCGGTATATCTATTGAATTTGTAGTCGTGTTTGAAGCCGTTTAACTCTTTCTCAGCCGGCTACATTTTTCACGACAAGCGACATTTTGATTCAATTGTTTTATAACGTAAATATTTCAGCGCGTATTCACCCCCCTTTAAAACAAAGAACACCATTGAAATCCTAACAAAATAACCTTTTCATCGGGGGGTTCAATGCCGTCAAAACAAATACACAAACCAAAACAATCGTATATTTACTCACCGCTTGGCCAAACATTCTGTATTTTCATATGGAGAAAAAGTTGAATATCTTCTAAAGGCATCTAAACTCTTCAGAATTCGCCACAAGTTAATATGAGTGAAATATTCCTTGTATTCAAGCGCTTTTATGTAGAAAGTTTCGTTTGAATACGGCGAGTAGAAATGTTTATTTTGAATTTTTCAAAATATCGGGTTTCATCGGGTTTTTTACTCGCACGCGCGTGCTGCACGTAAAATTGGCCAATAAGGAGACACCCGTAGCCCAATGCACGTGAAAATCATGCTGCAGATGTAATTTGACCTATAGAATCGATTGCCGACGTTTTCCGAGCGCTAGGATGTAAACACGCGATGTTTTCGCAAATCTAAAGTGTATTTCCGGTCGAAAATATCCCGCTGACTTCACTAGTATCACAACAGATTGAAATACCGAAATAAAAGACGAAAGACTAATCCTACAAAAATAACACTTTAAATAGTGTTTTAGATTCTGGTTCGAATAAGACTATAGCGAAAACGATATCTTCAAAGGGACCGAAGTTATGTTCGGCGAAAGGTATGGATAGTTTACTTTTTCGAGACAATTGATTAATATAATGAAATATGACACCGCATGACCTCTCAAAAGGTCATAAATAGTTATACAATTTCACTATCGACAGGAATTAGGAGATATTGTTTCACTGAATCGAATGGTGGTATTTTCATCTACATAGCATGCACCAAACCGAAGATACGAATCGGCGAAGTCATAGACCGTGCCATAGATCGTGCACGATCTACGTTTATAGGGACCGGCTGAGAAATAATAAACTCGCAGGTCGTGTTTTATTAGGTCTAAAGCCACTCGCGCTGCGCGCTCGTGTCTTTAAACCTAATAAAACACTCCTGCTCGTTTATTAAACAGTACTTAAGCTCCAGCAGTCGGTCGCTCACTGCAAGTAATAGTTATTATATGATTTATGCTTTATATAATTTGTACTACTTGCGCTGTTTGATTTCATGTAAGGTAAAAACTATACTAGAAATACATACATACAACAACTCCTCGTCTATATTTTCCAAACATTGTTTCAACATGAAGTATTCGTAATTACGCCAACACTGAACGCAGGTTCGCGTTGCCACGTCATGTTAGTCATCAGTCGTGGCAACACGACAATTGTTTTTTTTAAATTTTTTGTACAAACCGGGAAAAAATAGATGAAATTTGAACATGACTTTTAAATACAAAACTATCAATTTCTAAAATATATAAAGTAAGTATAATATTTTGTTTTTTATGGACTTTATTTTAATGTAAAATTCAAAACGAAACACTACGTAAAAGTTTTTAAATGTTTAAACTGCTTTTTGCCGATACTTATAAACTTCTCAACTCGAGCTTCAACGATCTTCAACTTATCACTTCAACTTATTATCATGAACTTCTACAAAAGTTAATTAAAGTAAGAAACTTTTCGGTAAACGATAATGGATACGATAAACTGAAACCTTATGGTTTTCCTGTGCATGGATGCATAGATGGTTACAGTCGCAAAGTGCCGTGGTTAAAGGTTTGTAGGACGAACAATGATCCAGCCATCACTGGACAACACTTTCTAAATGCTGTTAGAGAATATGGGGATTGTCCAACTTTACTACGAACTGACAATGGTACAGAAAATGTTATTATGGCTGCTATGCAGTCATACTTTCGATGCAATGGAGACGATGAATATGCTTGTGAAAAAGCACACAGATATGGTACATCACCATAAAATCAACGCATTGAATGTTGGTGGTCATATTTACGTAAAAACCGCTCAAATTGGTGGATTAATTTTTAAAGATCTTGTCTAAGCAGGTCATCTTAGTTTATCCAATCAGTTACAGAAAGAGTGCTTGTGGTATTGTTTCCATCAACTTCTACAAGAAGATCTATCTTCGGTTCAGCTGCACTGGAAATCTCATTACATTCGAAAGTCAAGATTTCATGCTATTTCCGGGAGACCAGACGAGTTATACTTTCTTCCCGAGTGCTCAGGAGGTAGAAATTACATAAAATCTGTCACAGATGAACAATTTGATGATATGTTTCAGTATTGCCATGAATATAATGAAGACAATTTGTATCAGGAATACTTTGGTGAGATTTTTGAACAATTTCATTTAGGTGAACCAACGAATTGGAGAGAATGTTTGGATCTATATAACAGTTTATGCCAAATTGCAGAAGGCTAGGCTACTTGCCATAAATACAGTTTAATTGTCATTGGAAACCTCTACCCCAGAGAAATATAGAGCATAACCATTAGCTGTTCGCTCTAAAAGGTTTTAATGCGGTACCCTCGAATATTTAAATCTACTAATTTAAAACTATTTTATAATGAAAATCAATCACTCTGATTACACCCATAGGTGGGGCATTTTCTGGCATCTGGGTCTACAAAGGTCCAGTCCCCATGTTTCCCTGGATGAGGATGGGAGTCGAATGACAAGTTGATAACTGGTTCTGTTAACAAACTTAACAAAATAACAAAACTTTTTAATAACAAACTTATACAATGATTAAATAATGTACATAGGCATTCCACCTTAAACTTAATGTTCAATTATAGTGCCAATAACATATTATTGTATGAACTGTTCAATTTCCTAATTATTAGTTTTACAATTTGCTGAAAATGCCTCCATTCATTAATGCTGCAAGGAGGTCATGTGATAAGTCACCATTTGTTGTTTTATCATTGATATATAAATATAATGCATTGGAGTAGGTTTGTGCACTAGGAATAGACTTTCCATCATCATAAACAAAGGTTATCATTGGTTTCGGATCAAAACCAATAGATTGTGCGTTGGCTGCTCCACTTGCAAACAGTAGCATATGGCTTGGTGTCAACAAAGGAATGATGCTTTTCTCTTGTTCGGTTAATTTCAAATCACTGTCTTCTAAGCACTCCTGTAAAGTGCCATCTGAAATAGAAAACAATATGCATTAACTTCCACTGTTAAAAGTCTCCTGTATTGTAAGTTAGTATTTAAAAATATTTACCTTCAATTGATTTTAAAAAGGCAATGAATTTTGCCATCACTACTTCTTCTTTAACTCTTCGCTGGTTCCCTTGTGGTGAAAAAGCAGGCGTAAATGTTTTTTATCACCTGTTCAACATTCACTTTGCCACCTTTCTTGCAAGAAAATAGATGATGAGCCATCCCTTTATTGCTTCTGATACAATCTAATACCTGTGAAGAAATAGTGTCATCTCAAATTATACAGTCAGCATAGGTGTACAGGGGAGGGGGCTCCTAATTTTGACCCGATCAGGCAATTTTTAGAACCAATAGTTTTAGAACCAGTTGGGCAATTTTTAGCTCGCCATCGGGCAAAATAATTGGGTGGGGTCACATCAGGCAAAAATCGGCTAGGCCCCCCCCTAAAATTTTGTTATCCATACACCTATGTGTGCCAATTAGTTAATCAGACTTTTTTTAGAGGTGCACCGGAACTAATTTTTTAAGTTCCGGACGGAACCGGATCTGGCCAGAACTGAAAAAAAGTTTCGGCCGGAACTGATTTATTAAGCCATATATTGTCATATGTTGTTACTTTCTCTGATGCCAAATATTAGAATAAAAATATTGACAAACATTAAACGTCATAATGAAATGTTAATGGTGCATATCTTCCTTGTGTACTCCAAATGTCTTCCTACTGTGAACTTTTGTTAGACACAAAAACATTTGATATGCTATCTCTCTGAAAACAAAAAGAGTTCCAGTTCCGACCATGCTTTTTTTATTAGTTCAGGCTGGAACTCTGAAAAATCGGGGCACCCCTAACGTTTTGGGGGACATACTGTAGTTATTACACAAATACAGTAGTACTGTAAGTAGTATGAAAATATCAAACCCCATAATATGAAAGGCCTTGGATAAATTGATCCAGCATAGATTTGCATCTAATGATGACATAGTACTTGGTGATTTCATTAACCAATATGGGTCTTTCATTGAGGTTGATCTTTAAAGGCAATCCATCTATATCTACTTTCCACTAGCATTCAATCCAACATTTGTTGACATCAAGCTGGGTCTTTGCTTCTTGCAACTAAAATTTACAATGAATGTATACAATTTAACAATGGGTCATTCCAGAAAACATCCATAGAGGAAATAGGAAAACACCCCCACAGAGGAAATAGGAAGTTAACCCCCCCCCCCTACCTCCTTCGGATATCCTAATACATTTACTATTATCAGAAATACTTGCGATATTATCAGAAACAAGTTTTTCTCCCCTCCCCTCTGGACGGCAGAAATTTCCTCCGTGGGGGGAGTATGGATCTTTTCTGGAACGACCCAATAGTAGGGTAGTGTAGTGTTTTTCAATGGTCTTGAAAAAGGGCTTAAAAATACTGCTCATATTAAAATGTGTTATAATTAGAATGCTGTTTTTAAGGTTTGTAATCCAAGTAAGTATATATACATTTTAAGACCTAACCAGGAACGACTGCGAAAAAATGCAGCACAAGGTCCTCTCTCGCTGAATTTTTGCAGTTATTCCTGGTTAGTTCTTAATATGTATATATATTCACTTGGATTACAAACCCTAAAAACAGAATTCTAATATTACCAAGTGAAGTGCAGAAACCACTAACCAGATCATTGTTTTGTAATTACCACAACTCAATGCTTTTGCTTACGTTCTTTAAAGACTTTCTTACAATTATGCTGCTACCTCATCTATTTCGGGAATGCATTGTCGATTCCACCCTGGATGTACTGGCATAAACTGGGGCTGAAAATACGGGGTAACTCTCCTCCTTGAACAATCATTGTTGCGAGCATTTTCCCCACAACTGAGAATGCACTACTTTGTAAGGCTTTAAAATTGGGCCTTATAATGTGTCCTTCTGAAGTATCGACAAATGTATGAAAAATAATTATGATTATGTGTAATCTGGGTATTGTATATACAGTAACAGTGAACAAGTACCATGGCAATAAGGTTTTAATATTATTTTTCAACCAACTAACTTGGTATGTTGATTTCAAAACTAAGGTGAAGAATCTGCAGATTCTAATAAACATGTGAATGCTGGCTGCAATTTCAAGTTTCAACTAATGTATAATGCTGATTATAAATAGTCATAAACAACAACTAACAGTTGCCACCTATGGACTATCATACTGGTAAAGATAAATTCTAATGAACATACTGAATAAAGTCCCACTCTCTTTAGACATCTCTCCAAGAAATTAGTGGAAAAATTCCCAACGAGGACCACCATTGTCAACTGAATCTTCTTGGCCTTCAAATGTAGCAAAGGTTACCCGTAACAAACCATTTCTTTGCAGAAATCTCTGTCGTAAGAAATACGGTTTTGTTGTTTCCCAGATGCTTAATCTGCTCACCACAACACTTCGCGGATCTCCAGTAATCATTTTATTGGCATGATCTTTAATCAACATGACAACACTCTCATCTTCCAGGTCATTTGGATTTTCATTTTTCACTTCTTCCTCTGTATTTCCAAGTTGTTGAAATCTTTCATCTATTTCTTGTTGCACAGCGCTATTCTCATCCAAGGTCTAAAATGATATGGAAATGAAAGATATAAATTAATTTATAACAGAGGATATTTAAAGAAAAGCCCACACCCCTCTCAAATAAGCTCCCTGCAAATGTGTCTGCAAAGAAACTCCAAGATTGATTGCAAACAAATGTATCAGTCAAATCCCAGCATCCCTCCCCCCGGCTTTTTCCAATTTTTTGAAATATACGACAAATTCCCAGGGCTGGGGAGAAAAAAACATGTGCAAAAACCCTGCCATGGGGCAATAAATCTGTAGCAAATCCCCTACCCCGGAAATAATTTGATTGTATTTTAGAAAAATTTATCGCCTATTAATCCACCAATGTGCGTCAACTCTAGCCCAATCCAGCGTTTCCACTTTCAAGAAACTTTTGGCACAAATCACAGGAATTTTTAATTGAATAGTGAAAGCACTGGTCGTCACACTCTAGTGTGCATTTATATTGAAAGCTTGACTGTTTGTGGTCTGACCGTTCCGTTTGACTGGTTTTATTATATACTGTACTCTGGTTTATCATGGAAGCTTGTGGCATCTTGCCTCTTGATTCTAGAGACTTTAGAAACTTCCATATTCTTAATTTCAAATGCCCCACCCCTGGAAAAAGGTTTGCATTCGCAACCCCCCCCCCAGGACGTGCTTGACAGGAAAATGCCCCGAAGTTGCCCAGGGGGATGGAGACACTTGGATTTGACTGATACAAAACAGAAGTACTTACAAAAAGTCAGCAACCTCAAAAAGCTGTATAACCTCAGGCTGGTGAGGAGAAGGAGCAGGAACAGGAGTGGCAGATGCCTCAGTGGAAGAATCAATGAAATCATCAGTGAAATCATCTACATTCCTGTCAGAGTCCCACAAAACCCTCTCTATCTCTGCTTCTTTTTCACTTAACCAGTTTGTTATTGGCATTGTACTCTCTGTCCTTTTTTCCGTCGCAGGGCAAAGGTACAGGACTATTCTACTATAGCTCTTGCCAAGCCCTTCTTTGTATTTTCTCAGCGTGAATTCCTCTGAGCTGCCAGGTATCTGTTTCCCCAATTTTCCATCTTCAAACGTTACGACGTATCCATGATCTCTGGAAAACGTTCTGTCGTAATCCTCCCACTTTTTCAACGCTCTCTCTCTTACCTCGTCATAACCCATATCTTTCGACAATTTTACAGGAAATGACTTGTCATGCTGGATTTTGGCCTCACCATATTCGTATTCCATCAAGCCAACGTTAATGATAACTTCATCTTTAGCTTGTGTTTCTCCCACGCGGCTTTTCTTTTTATTTGGCTTGAAATGAGTCTGTCTCCTTCTGTTTAATGTACGCCGAAAACGATGGAGGATTCGTGCTTGCCGATTGCCGTTTTCTTTTGCTGCTATCTGCATTGGCGCTGTCCGTTTCTGCATTTGACGGACTAATGATACCGCTTGTTTCGCCTTTTCTCGTTCCGCATGATGGGCAGAACACAAAGGCACTTTGTAATGCCTTGCCACAAGAGCAGCAATACATATTTTTGAAGATAAAACACTATGTAAATTTTGAACAAACGCAAATTCCCACTGCCAAACCACACGCGAGCTTCGGGAAGAGAATAAGAGATACAAACAAGGTACAAATGGGACTATTAGGGTGTCCGCAAGATGTTCCTACATGATCCCTAATGTTCGCAAATGCAACATTTTGTTGTGTATTGAGAATAAAATATATTTGCGTATCGAGTTTTCCTGTTCACGTTTCGCACGAAATTTATTCAGATGTTGTGAGATATGTTGTTGTGTATATATTTACCGAATTTATCGTGCACTGAAACGTATTTACGTGAACCTATATTTCGAATTGTGTATTGAATATTTTGTTTGTGGATTTCAACTCTTGTTTGTGCACTAATATTTTCTTTTGTGTATTGCACATAGGGGCCACCGTAGTTTTATATCACAAGAACTGCTAAAAATAGCAAACGTAAGCAAACTGTCAAAAGACATTTTAAACCGTATTTAATACCGAAACTGAAAAAAAATGAGTTAGATAACTTAGATATACAAACTATAGCACAATACAAACCATCACAACAGAAATATGTGCCGTGAATAACTTTTAAAGTTTGAAAAATAACAATTTATCCTGGAATTTAGCTATCAGTATAAAACACGCGCGCTAGACTATAACAGTGATGTTATGATTTTGTTGTGCTTAAATTTTGCAATAATTCTCACTAAAATATTTTGAAAATCATTGTAAGCCCGTTTATATAAAGCATACAAAGCATTACCCTGGGAGCCAGAGGGTATTGTTTTCACCTTTGTTGAATAACCCTCTGGTGAAATTGGCGGGGGTTTTCGGCGGGTTCATTCCACACATAACTTTCAAAATTGGAAGAAAAGAGCTGATTGGTTGCTAAACTAGGTTCGATAGACTACGTGTTCTGATTGGATATTGTAAACATCATAGCCTGTTCGCAGGCGTTTGAAATGTCTTTGGTCTATACGACTATATTGTAATATTAAAATAAACGAACAAGACTTGATTTATACTTGAAAGAAGCTGTTCAGGGCTGCATTAATAGTTATATTTCCTGAATTAAAAGTTTAACGGAGCATTAATACCGCGGCTTCTCCAATTTGATTCACCGTAAAGATGTATTTTGCATCCTGCCTACCGGTTATGGGAAGAGTTCAATATTCCAAAGTTCTAGCACCGACAGTAGCCAACGACTTGCCAAAAACCACAATTTCGTGGAAACCATTTGCAAATTGTGAACTGTGTCATTGACTCTCACGTCCGTGAAATAAGAAAGCGTGCATTCTGTGTTACTTCACTGCCAAACGAAAAGGACGACAAAACAATACTGGATGGAGAGTGCCGAGAGTTTACATTCCTATTTATATACTGAATACTTGTATAAATCCCGATCCATCCATGTTGAACGTTCAAAGTAAGTTGAAAGTAGTGTAAAGAAATGCTAAATATTAATGTTTTAAGTCGTTAAAAGTTAAGTTTGGTTTATGGTTTATAAAGTATATCGAAGTAACAGTGGTTTGGACAAATGTAAGTGTGAAGAAGTGTATTCTGTACGAAGTTTTCGCTGTAACCTAAAATATTGCACTTATAATGTAAACACAGTCGAAATTTTCTTTGTTTTCTTTCTTTATCTTATATAGCTTTAGATTATGTTCATGCAGATTTGTTTGGTTTGTTTGTATATTAAATAAATAACCAAATCGTTGTTATTGTTGTCTTGCGATATTTTTAGATAAAACCCTGTCTAGACGGCCTGGCGTCAAGGATAATGATTGGATAATATTTTTAGAATCTGATGCATATACATTTTTTGCATTCCTTATCCGAAACAGGAATCGCTAAAAAATTCACCAGAGGTTTTTCATCTTTCTTCTCGCGTTTTTTTCGGGCCAGGGTTACAAAGCATATACACCGACAAGGAACCGCAAAACTCAAAGTTTGAAATTCGTGACCGAATGACATAAGGCATGTCAACTCTCGTATTTTCGTCCTTGGTCGCGTAATTTTGAAAACGGGTGTAAATCGAACAGCGCAAGTTTTTTTTGGGACTCCCGGTATTTAGTTTTATTTGTTCTTAATGCCCGCAGCAATCCCTATCTTGCAGGTACCCTAGTTTATAAAATATTAATGATATCTTTTATTTGTCTCTCATAAAACCGTGATAAATTAACCGTGATTAAATTAATTAAATCCAAATATATATTCTCTGGAACCTTGTATTTAATACATATTGTATTTTTTCATTGACATTTTTCCAGCCATGTTTTGTAAAAATGAAAGATAATATTTAATATTATAATATAGCATTTGTAAATTCTGAACGCTGATTGGCTAAGAGCCGTGTTGATATAACTCAATGTCAACACAGAAACGTCGGAAAATTTCTTTCTTTATGTTTCTTTGTCCTATATTATAAAACAAATATAAAACATTTTTCCGTATTGATATAGAGTTATATCAACATTCGTCGAAATTGGGAAAACTCGATATTGTGTGAAAACACTCCGCCCTTCGAACGCCCTTCGGGCGTCGTGTTTCCACACAATTTCTCGTTTTCCCAATTTCCACTCGTGTTGATATAACTGTATATCAACACGGAAAATGTTTTATATTTGTTAAATGTTCTCTACCTTTTGAAACCTATATAAAATCAAGTACATTTTACTATGACCCACCCCCAAACTGTTGTTAAATTTTCAATGACCCACCCCCTTTTAGATGTTCAAAATTCGATGACCCACCCTCTATTTTTGCAGTCCACTCCCCCCACTGTACTTTCTGACAGGTCCCTAAGTTATTATAATATTTAATTTTTTTTTTGTATAATATAATAGTAATTTTAATTAATTCTTCGTATTTTGCATCGGGACAGATACATATTTTTCGTGATGTGTCCAGTGATTGTATAAGTTACTCTTCCTCTCCATATAAAATAGCGCCAGGGTACACAAGGTATAAAATGTATAGCAGAATGGATATAATATATGGTGCATGTGATTTATGCCATGTATAGGTACAACACGAGACGTATTGGCTTTATACAAACTGAGTCCACGAACTTATGAAACACATACATGCATATAAATCAGTAAATGTTTGTATTTATCGATTATTTTAATTATTTTAAAGATAAAACTCAAAATTGTTTTAGTTGGGAACGTTGAAGAAGAAGGTTAATAATATTTTTAAAAATGTATCAGATCTGATCTACTGTAGCATATCAAATTAAATGTTCATATAAGTCACAGTAAGAAATGATTTCCACGCACAGATGAATATTTCGTCGTCGAAATATTTCGCTTGTTTTCTTTAGAATTATGACCAAATTGACGCTCATGCACAATTCAAAAGAAATTGAGCGGAAAATTTCGACAGCGAAAGTTTTCCTGCAAGTATATAGAAATCCAACCTATAATGGGTAGATGAATGGTATGGAGGACATTACTAATTAATTACGACCAAAACAACGGCAACACAAGTTCATCACTGAATGGTAGTGCATGGCAATGTTGTTATCTTAAATTTAGCGCAAAAAAAAAATTAAATAAAAAATTGATATATTTTAATTGTATTAAAACCGTATGCAGTTTATACTTACATGGAGGGCATCCGCAAATTTCATCGTCGTTGATGCGTATACATTCTGGAATTAGATCACAAACATAGCATATATTAATTACTATTTTTATTTTTTTACTCATTATATCAGTAACTAAGATTTTGATTGTCCAATAACTTACAAAGCTATAAATATAGAAATGGCACGACCAAAAGATTTAGGCGTATATAGGTTGAGCCAGCAGTATATAAACAAAAAAAATAATAAAATGAATAATAATGATTTATGGAAGTTTTTTTAAATAAAAAAGTAAATGAACTGTTTTAACTGTTTTATAATTATTATTTTTTTATTTTGTTTGATGGTAAAATGGAATATATTCTGTATTCAAAGTGGACGAGACGAAAGATGGCCGCCGAAATTTGTTCGGCACGGGCAGGTTTATATAAATCTTGGCATTGTTTTCGCAGAATGTGTTCATTTTCTCTTTTCAAGAATAAAGAAATATTGTAGAGAATTTTTTTAGCTTTAATTTGAGCCTAAGTTTGTTTGTTTGCGTAGTATGTTGGTGGCTAAAATGTTCGTTATCCAAATACGAAATTATATACTAAAAAGTAAAATGCGTATAAAATTCTTCAGTACTTATTTAGTATTTTACCGAAATGGCATGTGATAAAAACCAAACATACTTGCAGGTTCGGTGAGTCCAGGATTGGACAGCCACCCGAGGTGCGTCCAATCCCGGACTCACCTCCCTGCAAATTTGTTTGTTATATAAACCACTGCTAGTATTATGTCAAAACGTTGATTTCAGGAATGGCTTTAGGTGTGCCAGGCGTATAAGATGTGGTTTTAAGTTTGTACGTTCAAATGAGCATATAATACATAATGATGATAGCTAATGATCAACGAACAAACTAGCGAAGACCAAACAGCTGACACACCCTTGGGAAAAATGTTGAACGCGCTACATTTGTAAACTTCTAGGAAGGAAATGCTTATCAGGCTTCGATTACTTCGAACTTGACACTTGACAGTTCAGGAGATCACGAAAACCACATTCAGAAAATGAGGTATTTCCGGCTTGCTTTCAGTTCCCGTCTAACAATTAAGGCAAGGGATAGCTGAGGTTATACATGAAACGTAACGATTTTACCTTTACAATCGCTATGGTGCACTAAAATATCATGTGATTTGTGTACGTTCTTTTACTATAAATCAGGTTGCTTAGTGTTTCTTATTTATTGAAAACATTTTTACCAAAACAATTTAATAGCCTTTTAAGGCTTTATAAGCCTGTGTCAGTGAAACCCACCCGGTTGATTCTAACTCAAAAATAGATTTCCCCTATACTTAAGGGGATGGTCTACCCAAACAGTAACGGGGAATTAAATTTTTTGGGCCGACTAAAACATAAGTTTAGACCTTCATTTGACCACTGCCAAAAAAATGAGGGCATTTCTCACGGATTTTGTGTTTTTTCAACATTTTATGACTGTGTATTTAAAATCTGCATACGTTACTATGGCAACGGACATGGTATTTTTTTAAATTTTCATTGTTTTTAGTAATATGTCATGTTTGTTAAAAATTGAAGAGAACAATCAAAAGGATCAGCAAACTCTCTGTTCAGCGGCTGTTACTTCAAAACAGTGCAATGTCTAGCGCATTTGTGGTCTAGACCTTAAAAAGCGAGGTCACCCAATAGCAAGTTGAAATATTTTTCTGGTGATGTTATAAAAGCGTTCTAGTTAGTCAAATGTGGAGTATACAAGGCTCGGGCAGCGATAGGAGAGATGGGTTAAATCACTGGAATATTACTTGGCAGCTTCTAATATAACGGATAGTGCTCGGAAAAGAGCACTTTTATTGCACCAGGCCGGGCCAGAAGTGCAGGATATCTTTCTAACGTTTACAGACACTGGGGATACTTATGAAACGGCAATGACCGAGTACTTTACAGAGTACTTTGCACCGAGGAAGAATATTCCTTTCGAAAGACATTTGTTCAGGCTAACTACTCAAGAATCAGGTGAGTAAATTGAATCCTTTGTTACAAGACTTGGAACATTTGCAAAATCTTGTAGTTTTGAGAACCTGGAGGATGCCATACGTGTCCAAGTTGTAGAAAAATGTTCCTCGGGTAAACTTCCACGTAGACTTTTGAGAGAACCTGAACTGACGCTTGCAAACTGTATTCAAATTTCAAAGGAATTCCAAGCGTCTGAAAGGCAAGCTAGCCAAATGGAGACTTACACTTTCCTCTGCATCTCACAATCAAGATTCTGCAAGTGCTGTTGATGCCTATAGCTTACAAAGCACACGTTCGTCAAGTCCTGATCTCGGACAACCTCGAGGTAATAATGTTGGCCTCACATGTTTCTGCTGTGGTTTGTCGGGCCACAAAGCCAAAGGTCCTTCCTGCCCTGCAAATGGGAAAAGTTGCAACAAATGTGGTAAACCGGGTCATTTTGGAGGGTATGCAAGTCTTCAGCAAAGGCAAATGCCCCACAATCTCGTAGTTCGAATGTCCACTTTATGTCCCCAAGAGTGGACAATGATTCATCTGATGATGAGTATATTTTCACCCTTGGCAACTCAAATAGAAACGTTCCAGTAATTATTAATGGTCAAACAATTCAGATGATTGTTGATTCTGGGTCAACTGTAAACGTCCTCGATTTAGACACACTTGACTTGTTAAAGTGCATATGACATTAATACCATTTTTTCACCAAAAATCAGCAAAAATTAGACAATTCGAATGATATATATCATTCCTTGATCGGATAAATACTTTCAGAGATAATTTAGATCGAACATTCAAAAAAATAGGGTTTTTCAAGACATGGCCGGGAGAAAAGAGGCTGAGTACGAATCAGGTTTGTGATGTCACACCGGGGACGGAAGTGAATCGACTCGTGTTGCATTACAATAATAAATATCTATTGTGTGCAATGAAAACTTGTATACTTTGCGCTTCGAAATGCCTGTTAGATATGTTGAATACGATTGTTCTAACACAACAGATGCTACAAATCAAATAGCTCTACATCCAATACCATATTATGTGGATTTTCGGCTGCAGTCATTAAGGAGAACGAAACATTGGATAGATTTGGATAAATTGAAGCGAGCCAGATCGGAGCCGTCTCGTCAATTGTCAAATGCATGTTTGCACAAAGACCAGCACAAAGACATGCATTTCAAGGCGGATGACTTTTTGTACACTCTGAATATGTCGGGGCTAAAAGAACGCACATTTCCTCGACTAATTCTACATCCAATACCATATTATGTAGATTTTCGGCTGCAGTCATTAAGATATGCATTTCATGTCGAGGCTAAAAGAATGCACATTTCCTAGACTGAATGAGATATGAAATTGGGATTAGCGTTTATCTGACGGTACAAACTGCGGTCGAAACTCGAAAGGCAGGAGGACATATAATAATGCTATTAAAAATGCGAGGGTGATTTTATATACACGCAAGGTGAGACAATGT